AAGTCATGAACAAAGCTATACTCCGTGGACTAAAAATCCGCTTAGCCCGAGCTAAGGGACTATGGGTAGACGAGCTGCCTAATGTACTATGGGCTTACCGAACCACCATCAAGACCGCCACAGGTGAAACCCCCTTCAACCTCACGTATGGCACAGAAGCGGTAATCCCTGCCGTCATCGAGGTGCCTACATTACGCCTGGAGGCATACGATGAAGAGGCAAATGATGACGAGCTCCGTACCAACCTCGACATGATGGAAGAAGTACGGGACCTCGCATATATCCGGACCGCAGCCTACCAGCAAATAGTGGCTCAGTACTATAACGCCCGGGTCAAGAAGCGGCACTTCCGTGTCGGATACCTGGTCCTTCGGAAAGTTATGGTGCCTGAGCCCAGTGTCGGTAAGCTTGGACCGAATTGGAAAGGCCCCTACCGAGTAAAGCGGGTACTCGGGGAAGGTATGTACGAGCTTGAAACCTTAGAAGGAAAATAGGTACCTCGAGCATGGAACATTAGCAATTTAAGGCGATACCACCTGTGATCGTCGAATTGGAGAGCAGACCGCGAGTCACTCACAAAAGTCCAAGGACTAAAAGTGCCGAGTTGATAAAAGACATCGGCATCCTATAAGTCTCAGTCGCCTCTTCGGCTTGGGCGAACTAGTCTCAGTCGCCTCTTCGGCATGGGTGATCAAGTCCYAGTCGCCTCCTCRGCATGGGCAYATAAGTCCTAGTCGCCTCCTCAGCATGGGCATATAAATCCTAGTCGCCTCCTCGGCATGGGCATATAAGTCCTAGTCGCCTCTTCGGCATAGGCAAAGTACTTCTAATGCTTAAAGCGTAGACAACTTGGGTGTAAGCCTTACGATGTCTAGCCCACTTCGGCATATATCAACAGGTTGGGCCCGTTAGGGACAATCGACATTTAAATGAGTAGCCCGTGTGCGGACAGGTCGGGTATATACCCTGCAATGTCGCTCACATCGGCGTTCATTACGTAAAGTTGCCCCTACTAATAGTCCAAGTAGACAGTTTGGGGTAACAAACACTTAGGTAAATTTTTACTTTGGTTATCCTTACTTGTTGTCCAGCTCGGTAGCTCGACAATTCGGGTAACCTATACACTTGTTGCCCAGATTGGGAGTCATTTACATTTAGAATATTTTTGCACAATGATTGCTCAGAAAAGTTCGTATTTCATTAATAAAAAGAGTGTAGGTACAAAGATTTCATTGTAACCCGAGCTCGGTGGCCTCAGGGCGTACATCCAAAACACAGAAAGAAGAAAAACCCAGAATCACTCATGCGGACTATCATTTGGGTCAGTCTCCATGTGCTCTTCTACGTCCTCTTGACCTAAGGGGCCCGCCTCTTCGACTTCGTCGTCGCTCTCCTCCTTTGATGAGTCGGGCTCTTCATTCGCCGCCTCTGCCACCTCGGGGGTAAGGCTTGACATAGAGACAACTCCGAGATCAAGATCAGGGAACTTCTGCCGCACCAAGTACCTGCACAGCTTGAAACCGGAACAATAGGAGCTCGATCCATATTCGACCTGGAGATCGTGAAACTCCAAGGATTCCTTGAAGCATTCGATGGCGAGGCTTCTTTCTTCAGCTCGCGCCTCTTGAATGGCGGTCTCGAAGATCTTAGTTCGCTCCTGGATCGTCACTTCGAGATTCTCGATCTCTCGTTGAAGCTTCACCTTCTCCTCGGTCAACGTTGAGATTTGCTCTTGTTGCCTCATTTTTTCCTCGGTTAGTGTAGAGATTAGTTCCTATTGCTTCTCCTTCTCCTCAGTCATGACCAAGATTAGCTCCTGCTGGCTACAAGCTCCATTATTGGCCCGAAGTATCTCGCCTCGAGCTATGTCCAATTCGCGATGAAGCTATCGTGCCTTTTCCTCAGCATCCCGAGCCTGCTTCAGACGAATCTCGGACTAGCACATTAACGAATGAATGGCGGAGTTCACCTAGCAAATAAAACCGAGGTAAGTACATTTGAAATTGACAAAGAAATAAAATGTAAAGTAAGATACTTACCACCATGCAATAACCGGCAGCTCGGCTTCCGAGCATGGCTGTAGACATGTCAGCCCACTCTGCGACCTCGTCAGGAAAGATGACATCCCTACTCTTGCGCATTCCGAGCCGAAGAGTCATTATGCTCTCCTTGGATGACTTGGATCTCGGTGCAGAAGCGCTCTCTGGCCTGTGAGGTTGGACGCTTTCCTGCTCGGGTACAGAAGTGCTCCCCGGTTCATGAGGCTGAGCATCCTCCTCCTGGTCGTCATCCAGGTCCACTACGGAGGGTTGAGGACGAACCTCCTCCTCGGGGAGCTCGGCAGAGATCGGCTCCATGGCAAGGACTTCGGATGGGGCAGGGGCTGAAGGATCGGCCTCCCAGTGAGGCTTCTTCGAAGCCTTCCTCTTCCCTCTCTGAGCGCTCTTGAGAAGGTCCTTGGCATTGACCTCCGGCATGGTAACTGCAAGAGCAAAATGTTAGCCGCGAATTAAAGAGAACCTTAAAGTAAAAAACCAAGGTGGAAACCTACCAGGAGGGCTCAGACCAGCTCGCACAAGCTTCTCCTCGGCCAAGAAATCTTTCATCTCGNAAAAACCAAGGTGGAAACCTACCAGGAGGGCTCAGACCAGCTCGCACAAGCTTCTCCTCGGCCAAGAAATCTTTCATCTCGAGGCCGAGGTCCCTCCACGAGTTGATAACTGCCCTAGTTTCCGCATCTAAGCTCACCCTGGGATCCTTAATAGCCACCCTCCAGTGAGTTGGAAAAGACCACCCTTCAGGATTTCGAACAATGAAGTACCTCCTCCTCTAGGCTGGAACCTTGTTCGGGCAGCCGAACAGGATTTTGAACCCAGGCCAAGGAGAGATGTAATAGCTTTGTCTGACGTCCCCGCACAGACAAGCAGAATTTTTCTTGATCGCATAGATTGAGTTGAAGGTATCTAGGGACAGAGGTCGGCTATACGTGTGGAACAAGGAGATGGTACCAACTATATTCTGGATGAAGTTCGGATGTAGTTGGTCGATGGTGATGTTACTACCTCTATGATGAACGGGTGAAGCGGGAAACGCAGCCCGGCCGCGAGTTGCTCCTCAAAAACCGCGAGCTCAGGGTGATCTGAGGTCAAAGTAGAAGGACCAAAGTTGTCTGGATCCCAACCCCGGGAAGTACACGGGGCCTCCGTTCTAGAGGACGGACCCTCTTCCCGAACCTCGGTCTCCTCAAGCCGAGATGGCTCAACTTCAGGAACGGAAGTTTCCTCTAAAGACTGAAGAGGGGAATACCCAGCGGCGAGCTAACCTCCCCAGCAAGGGCTGCGGATTGCACCACGACACCCTTAACTTCACTAGAGCTACCTAAAAGCCTGTCTACGCTAGAATAAGACATGATTAAAAAACAAAGGAGAAACAAATGAAGGAAAACACAAACTCACCAAAAAGGACGACCTCGGAACACAAAGAGAGCGACCTGAAAGACTTCGGCACGACCTCAGAAGAGCTCAATCACAGAATTTGTGGCAAGAAAAACGAGTCACGGACCCCCTATTTATAGCCGCTATGTCCGAAAACTAACGGTCGAGATCGAAGAAATCCAACGGCTCCTAGGAAAACCGGCTGCACGATCCCCGAGGATAAAATCATTTTAGCGCATTTTTTGATGTTCACGAAGTTTAAAGATTGTGTGACGTCTACGCGTAGGCCAGACGCGACCTAGGTTTTTCCTGGTTGAACCGGGTAGCCGAACAAGTCCGACCCGTGATTCATCTGGCTATATGCCTAGACCTCGGACCAAATCCACTTGGCTCATTATGAACTCCCTGCACCGGGTCAGGGCCCCTGGCTCGAGGAGTGGGGGGTAATTGATGTAAGGTGATTTGGCCCGACCTAATGATAGGGGGACATGTGGACACGACCTAGCTAGCAGGATGACAGCTCAATCCGACGCACCAAGCCTGCAACGGATCGAGCTCGAATAACCAAACCACCTCGGGGCAAGTCCACCTCGGGACGAGTTCACCTTGGTGCACGATCGCATCAGGACCACCTCGGTCCCAAGGCACTTCGGCATTTGTACCAATCGGATCCAAAGGGCACTAGCTCGAGTAATATTGATCGACCACTGCATGGTAACCCCGAAGATCTCGCCACCAGATTCTACGCCTTACGAGATCATGCCTCGTAACAGTTAGCATTATCTCCCCCACCCAATTCGGGCAGAAGTGATAAATCTTATCAGTTGGCAACGTTATCCCCAATTAACACGGAAACGGACCTCATCGTAACGAGGATCTCGGAACCGCTCCACGAAACCCGCGAAGGCTCCACTATATAAAGGCTCCACCCCCCGTGGGTGAAAGATACGCGTAATCTCTACTCTCTAGCCCTCTTGCATTGTAAGCTATTATCAACTCGCAACCAAGTACTAACTTAAGCATCTGAGCGACCTCGCTGAGTAAGCAACCTTGGGTTCTCTGATTCGCTTTTTGCAGATCAACTGAGTCCGTTGTCTACTGGAAGCCAGATCACCTCCAGCTGAAAACAGCCGGATTGCACTACATCAATATCCAAATACTTTATATAAATCATTAAAGAATGGTTTTATGTTTAAATAAATTAGTTATACTCACATAAAACTCATTTTTATTATTATTCATATTTTAAGGATTTTTTTTTAATTTTCTAGTGTATCCATGCATATCTTGATTTTTCGTTCATATCTATACGTTTTCAAAGCGCATCTCGATACGTCTCCTAAAATTACCTTTGCGATACACCTTACATTTCCAATACTTTGAACCTTAACAAGCAGAAAGATATTTTAAAATTATTGAATGGTCTAAGGTGCAAGTTTTGTTTTGTGAAGCAGGAATAAAACAACTTATCAAGCAACAAGAAAAGATTTAAAATGATCAAGAGCCTATCTGGAGTCAATCTGTGCTAATTAAAGATGATCCAAACAGTGATCGAAGGATGGCATCTGAAGATCCAAGTAAAGAAGTTTGTGACTATTGCATTGTTATAACAAAACATACATGATGGGCAAAATAAAACATTGCAAATTTGCAGTCACCAGTTGGAGCAAAAGACTCGTTTGCAAGATTTGCAAACAATGCGAACTGCAAGCGGATAACTGACCCATTGTTGTCTTTTCTAGCCAGTGATACCAGCTCTTGTGGGAGAAGCATCAACAAGATTGTTAATATTAACACTATATGAAATGGAGGCATTTACAATACCAGTAGAGGAAATCCAAAAATATGTTATATCTTAAGTTCTTAACAATCCAGAGCCGAGAGAGAATTTGTTAGGCATTCAATCGTGAACCAAAAAGAAAGAAGCAACAAAAGATTAGGTGACAAAACTCAGTAGGATTAGAGTTGCCAATCTATAGGGAGAATACCCAATTTCTCCAAAATCTGGTTTGTCTGAGAAAAATGCCTGTTACAACACAATGAGAAAGAGAAACACCACAAATTATAAGATAGCACTATAAATATGAAAAATTTGTAATGCTACTATTTCTACATTAGTTGCACTACATTGTTACCATGTGCTATGTGTACATGCATAGCATCATCCACACCATTATATATAGGTTAGCTCTTAACTCCCAAGTACTTACATGGAACAAAGTAGTTTTCATTTAAGCACTGCACTTATCTCCCTCCCTACAAGGATTTAAAACTCAATTTTCAACCAAGTTTTGACCTGGCTTGGAACTGAAACTTTGATACTGGTTTTGCAGAAATTTCAAATTATATATAGTTAAAATTTGGATTTTTTTTAAGGATGGTAATGAAATTTACAGCATTTTATATTATCACTTATCTATATCTATATACTAAAACAATGTATGCCATTTCAAAGGTCGTCTGCTTCCTTCATTGCCCCCTCTAAATTTTCCTTTTCTTTATTCTTTTTTTTTTATTTTTCTCAAAGAATATTCACTCATGTTCCTAATTTCTCCTCGTAATCACTTCACTTCCACTTGCATTTATCCTTTCCTTGAAAGTCTCTCCTTAGACCTTTCCCCCTCTCCTAAACCCATACGATCTCTTCCCTATATTGCCTTTTGTCTTTTCACTTTTCTCCTATAATAAAGTATCCATTAATTAAGGTACCATTTGGATAAGCTTTTATTTATGGACTTTCAGCTTTCAAAAGTCTGAAAATCCAAAAGTTAGCATTGTTTACTTGGTAGCGCCTACTTTCTGGAAGTGTCTAGAAAGCCAAAGTCACTTAAGGGTTGACATCCCAAAGTAAAAAAAAAAAGACTTCGGGCTTTAGACTTTTGGCTTTTGGGGTGAAACAACTCTTAATTCTTGCCATCGACTCAAGAAGATTTTAACTCCAAGACTCAAGAAGACATGTGGTTAATAAGGTAGGTAGTTGGTACAACTGCGTCACTCCAAAACTTCACAAGAACATGGTTAGCAAAAAGAATGTTCCTTGCAACTTCCACAATGTGTCTATTTTTCCTCTCCGCTACTCCATTTTGTTGTGGAGTACGAGCACAGGAACTCTGATGAATAACTCCAAACTTCTCAAGATAGGAGGTAAGGTCCTCAAAATATTCCTTAGCATTGTCTAATCGGAATATTTTGATGCAGGTATTAAATTGAGTATGTGTTCATGGAACTGCTGCACAAGTTTAGGCACTTCAGCCCGAGAGCGCATAAGGTAAATCCAAGTATATCGTGAAAAATCATTAATAAATATGATGAAATATTTATACCCACCCATACATGATAAATGGTAAGGCCCCCACACATCGTAGTGAACAAATATTAAAAATGAATAGTTGATCTTTTATTACTTGAAGGATAAGTGCTCTTACAATGCTTTGAGAACTCACAAGATTCACAATGAAGAGTCAATAGACTAATTCCTTTAACTAACTCTGGAAACAACTGACTCAATGAAGAAAAGGACAAATGGCCCAAACGACTATGACATGACATAATACGACTAGTGGACTCTAAAACAAACACAATTCTCTTAGGTCGCACTTGGCTCTACTTAGGCATGTCTAACAGTAGATCCCATTCGCCTCATGGCCACTCCCAATCACCTTCTGAGATTCAATGTCCTAAAAAACACAATATGTAGAAAAAAAAAGGTCACACTGCAATTCAGGGAGTTAGTCAAATTACTAACTAAAAGCAAATTGGAATTAAATTTAGGCACATGAAGAACAGATGATAAGGTCAGGGCATTAGAGGTCTTAATGTCTCCCTTTCCTATGATAGGGGCTAGGGAGCCATCAACAAGGGATATCTTATCCCGACCAAAAATAAGTTGGTAAGAGGTGAATAATTATGGAACACGGGTCATTTGGTCAAAAGCACCAAAATCAATTATCCAAGGGGTTTTATGAGTACCTGAGACAAAAGCATGATGTGCAGTGGCATGAATACCTGAGTGAGCATATGCAGAGGAAGGAACAGTCTTTGAAGGAGCTATAGCAATGGACTCCAAGTGACTGATGATTCAACCATACTTCTAATATTCAGCTCTGGCGGCTGCAAGCTGTTCTTCCATTGACTTCTCTCCACCCTGTCCTTGTTCACCTTGTGAAGAGGTGGCTACATTTGCATTTCCACCTTTTCCAGCTTCAACCCTTTTTCCACCATTTTCTTTCTTGAATCTGCCAGGAACGAGCTTTGGACGCAACTTCCAACATGTGTCTTTAGTGTATTTAGGCTTCTTGTAGTATTCACAGATAACATCTTTTTTTCCCAATGCTAGCCTTCGGTTTCATCCTAACATTAGCATAGTGATCAACCTGTGGCTCAGTAGACCAAACCTGTCTTCTGCTCTCCTCACTACTCACCATAACATATACCTAAGACAAAGTCACCCCATCCTTTGCTAATACATTCTGCCTCACAATATCATACTCCAAGTTGAGTCCAGTGAGGAACTCATACTCAATTTCCCTCCACCAACCTCCTATATGTTTCTGCATCCTTTGTGCAACCCCAAACAACAATCTCCATCAGATCAATCTCTTGCCAAAGAGATTTCATCATAGAGAAGTAGACTGCTAAGGGCTTCTCCCCCTGTCTAAGATTATTCACATCATGCTTCAACTTGTAGACCCGAGCAACATTAAGCTTTTGGGAATAGATCTCTGTGACACTATCCCACACTTCTTTTGCAGTTTCCATCCATAAGTAATGCGGATTAATGTGCGGTTGCATAGAATTCACTAACCAACCCACTACTATGTAGTTTTCTTGCATCCACCTTTCATAGATAGGATCATCCTCTTCCGGTTTCTTCTTTCTCCCGGTAATATAACCCCATTTTCCTCTACTATACACATGTATCTTAATAGATTGAGACCAAGCTAAATAATTGGTCCCATCTAGCTTCACAATAGTCATAACCCCAAAAAGATTCTCCACTGACCCCCCATGTCCTAACCCGAAATCTGTAGAATATTTGGTCTCTCCTCCAGTTTGCTCCATTGAGTAAACGGATGCAAACGAAAATCAAATTAGGGCTTTACTAGGCTAGATTTACTGTTATAAGCAAAGAACAACCTTTCAACCCCCCAAAATTAGGGTTTCATAGGGTCTTGCAAGATGAAAAGAAAGAGAAAAATTTCAACCGCCCCTTCCAGAGGTTCTAGAGTTCAATCCAACCAAAACTGCCCCTAATAGAAATCAAAAGGCTTACTTCTGATCCCTAAGCGCCTAGTTCAAACTATCTTTACGACCTGTAACAAGGTTTCTCTAGTTATCTAGGGGTTTTGGGAAAAAACTCCAAGAACCTGCCCTAGGCTTCAACTAAGGGTGAAAAACCTCCACAAAGCTCTCCAAAAACCTTCCTAACTAGGCTGCATAAGTAGCTGATTGATCAACCAACCAGTTCTCCATACACACTATGTATGGGCAAAGAAAGGAGAAAAAAAAGTCGAAAGTGAGAACCCGCTCTGATACCAAGTTGAAAATTACACCTACAGTAATTCAGATAATGCAAGAAAAGAAGAAAAAAGAGAAAGAGAAAGAAGAAAAAAGTTTCAGCAATAGGTTGTGGAAGAAGAAAAGAAGGGAAGAGAGAAGAACTCAAACCTCTTTCTCTAGCCCCCTTTCATCAGTTGCACTCTAGACTTCCCTCACTCCTCTACAATGGCATTGTCAGCTGGGACATCCATCTCTCAAGGCACTCAATATACTGGTTCCGTCTTTGAGTCATTTGTCGTCTTTACAGTGTGAGTCGTGTCAATATGGGAAACACCATTGGGTTTCCTTCAGTCCTACAGTTGATAGTCGTATGTTAAATCCTTTTGCTTTAGTTCATTCAAAAGATTGGGGTCCAATTAAAATAGTTATATAATGGTTACAAGTATTTTGTCACTTTTATTGATGATTGTTCAAGGATGACATGGATTTATTTAATAAAAGAAATGAGTGAATTATTTTCCATTTTCAAAAATTTCATGCTAAAATACGTACGCAATTTTGTTTTCCAATCAAAGTTCTTCGTTCAGATAATGGTCGTGAATTCTTCACTTCTTTTCAACAATATTTAGAAAAACACGACATCATTCATTAAACTTCATGTGCATCCACCCCTCAGCAAAATGGGATGGCTGAACGAAAAAACTGTTATCTCCTTGAAACTGCTCAGTCTATTCTTCATCATATGAGTGTTCCTAAACGTTTTTGGAGTGACGCTGTGTTTACTACTTGTTTCCTTATTAATCAGATTCCCTCCTTCATCCTTCATGGTCGGTCTCCCTTTTCTATTTTGTTCCCCACCTTGTCTCCCTTTCCATTAACACCCCGGGTCTTTGGCTGTGTGTGTTTTGTTCACAATCTGAATCCTAGGTTAGACAAGTTGGATGCACGCTCTATTAAGTGTATCTTTCTTGGCTACTCTCGGACCCAAAAAGGGTATGTGTTACAATCCCATTATTCGGAAGTTCTATGTCTGTCCTAATGTCACGTTTTTCAAGTTCGTTCCGTTCTTCTCGGGACCTGAGGTTTCGTTATCTCCACCTTTGCTTCCTCTCCCTCTTCCAGTCCGTGATCCCGTTCCAAGTGTTCCATTTGGGGCTGAACCATCACCTTTTCCAATGCAAATTCCTATTGAACAACCACCGATCCGGCAAGTTTATACTCATCAACAGACGCCGGCACCCCCTCCGACTTCTACCTTGTCTACGGATCCTGTTGTTGCTCCTGTCCCAGAATCTTCCGAGCTTGATCTTCCCATTGCTTTACGGAAATGTAAATGTAGTTGTACCCTACATCCCATTTCTAATTTTGTTTCAATCTCTTACCTTTCTGCTTCACATCGCTCGTTTGTTTCTCTTGCCATCTATCTCTATACCTAAGGATGTCCAGGAGGCCCTTACTTCACCAGGGTGGCATCAAGAAAAAGAGGAAATCTATGCTCTTCAGCATACTCACACGTGGGGAACTCAC